GATGCCTAAATAAAACTTCATATTGTGTTTTTCAAACAAAATATTCTACAAGAGAAAGTTTAATTAGTTAACTGTGGGACAAATTCTTTGTCAGAACTCATCCTTTGAATTCTTCCATGGATCTCCTTTCTCAAAGTTAATCACTCTTTGATCCAGTGAGCAAAGGAGGGGCACAGGATACGCACAGCTAGTGGAACATCAAACCCATCTCAGTGATGGCACAGAGATGTAACAAGTCATTTGGTGTGCTTAATGAAGTATTTAATTAGCTACCTTAAACCTGCTTTAAAAGCACTTACTTCTAGGGATAGTGTCTACATAAAAACAGGACAGAAAACTTTAATGTACTTAACCACTCTTCTCAGAAACTACATGTGAGACTACTCCACTGTTAATTACAATTACCAGACACAGTCAGACTGGATTCCCTTCTGTTAAAAGGGAGAGATAATTTCAGTATGTGGTGGTCAAGAAAGACTTTTTGGGTTGAAATCTTCTATTTCAAAATAAGACAGATCTGCTAACCTTTAAGACCTGCTACATGCCATTGACTGAAGCTTCTGCAGGAGGAGGAATATGAAAGCAGCTCAGCTCGCTTGTCTGAGGGTGGGAAATTTTGCTGCAGTGAAGTTCTTTTGGGATCTCCTGGTGAGAGCATAAGTTTTTAGCAAAATCTGAAAAACACTCTGGTTGCAAGATTATTGGTTTGATATTGAAAATTACATCTCTGGCCATTTTCCTGCATGGAAGGACATCTCTGAAAGTTCCTGGACTGCATTGGTTGACAATTTCTTAAGGCAAATACTAGAGAGACCAACTAGGAGTAATGCACCACTTGATCTCCTGTGCATAAACAGGGAAAAACTGGTGATGAATACAGCCACAGATGGCAGTTTACCTTGCAGTGACCACAGGATGACTGAGCTCAGGATCTCGAGGAAGGATACAAAGTTAAACAGCAGAGTTAATAGTTCAAGAATAGTTCAGAACTATTCTATAGGATTCTATTCAGAATCCTATTCTGAACTTCAGGAGATGGGACTTCAGCTTGTTTAACCAACTGCTAGTCAGATTTGCCAAGGAGGCTATCATTAGAAAGAAAGGTACTTAGGAGAGCTGGCTGGTTTTTTTGTTGGTTTTGTTTTGTTTTGTTTTGTTTTAAAGAAAACTTATTTAGACCTCAAGAGCTAACCAGCCCATTGTACAGGGAATTTTGTCAGAACAACTGCTTGGTGCACAAGCTTCCTAACTAATACGCAAAACCAGAGCATATTAGAAGTGGAAACAAGGATGGGAAGCAAAAAGATAAAATCATTGCTCTGGCACGTAGGGACAAAATTAGGAAAGCCAAAACCCAGCCATAGCTAAAACTGATGAGGGACATAAGGAGATTGTCCAAGTAGGCTAGCAGCTGAAGGAAGTTCAGACAAAATGCGTGTCTGTTAATCAATGAGGGAAACAACTTAGGAATAGATTATATAGAAACGTTTGAAGTCCTCAATCTCTTTTTTGCCATGGTCTTCACAGGCAGAGCCTGATCCCAGATCTCCACGCATACCAGCATGATTTGGGAAGGAGAGAGATGACCAGCAGCCAGGGAGCAGCAGGTTAGGGCCTACTGAGAAAAGCTGGATGTATTCAAATCTATAGGCCGGGTAGGATTCACTAAGCTGAAAGCTTATCACCATAATCATGGTGATTATGGGAGGTGCCTGATGACTGGAAAAAGGTAGTGTGTTATGCCCACCTTTAAGAAAGATGGGAAGGATGACCCAGGTAACTGTAGCTAAACAGTTTCCCCTAGCTCCCTGGAAAGATGGCAGATCACGCCGTGTCCCTCGGAATCAATTTCCAACTATGTGAGGGACAGTAATCAGGAATAGGCAATATCGATTTACGAAAAGCAAATTATGGTTGAGGCTAACAGGTGATCTAAGAACAGCCTATACCATTTGAACAGCAGTTACAGGAGTGACAGAGCCCAGCTCTTCTTGGTAGTGGCAAATAGTACCGCAAGGAGCAATGGTCACAAGTTGTTGTTTGGTAGGACATTCAGAAAAACTTCTTCACTAGGTAAATAGCATAGCACTGGAAATGGTTATTGAGAGAGGCTGGAAATTCACAGCTCAGCTTTACAGAGCCATGGCTTGACCTGGTATAGTGTTGGCAACTAACCTGCCTCATGCATGAAGTTGGCCTAGACAACCTGCAGATGCCCCTTCCAACCAACATTTCTAGGATTGTGTAAACAGTCTGATATTTTTAGGACACTAAAGAATGTTCCTGAGGAAAGTTTATTTTCCAAGTTTTGTAAGCGCACACTGTACTAAACAACGGAGTGACTCAGGAGACAGATAATGGGACATACCCTTTATCTCACATCTGGCCTGCCTCAACCCCGTAGTTCTTAAACATCCTTGACAACTGTGTAACAGACTAGAAAAAAAGGTCTCAGTCCATAAGACAAAACCATTCTGTTGCAAGTAGCAAAAAAGAAATGAAGTACTGAATTTGCAGAATAATTATTTTGCAGTAATATAAGCATTTCCTTCCCAACAGAGATAGGAAAGTTTGTACTGCTGATGCCCAAGTTGCACTTACTCTTCCCAGTAAATGATGGAGTTGTCTGTCCAACATTTCCAAAACCCCATCAGAAACATGTCTTATTAAAAAGGCACACATTTCTCAGAGCAGAACTTCACTACTTAACATTTTTCAGCAAACACAGATGATGTGAATTAACCACTGACTTAGTTATTATTGATCATGTTAGTTCCTCTATGATCACTGGAGAACATCTATGTCAATGCATGCTTTTCATCTTGTCCGGAGCAATACACTGTATTCCCAGTATCTAATGAATTTATGCTGCTTCTTAAACCGTTAATATCTGCAGATTTTGATTATTTGTGCAACAGTTTTGAATTACGGCAATTAGTAGTACAAGACAAATACCAAAGGACAGTTAAAATTGTTGTAGTTTGTGGTAACTATTTGGATATGACTGAAGAACCATACCTGTACTTTAAAAAAAAAAAAAACATTTCTAAAAGCCAAAGCGTAAAATAATTTATCAGAGTATCTTCTTGAATTCTGCCACATACAGATCACCTTTTCCTCTACAGACATAAGGCTTCTATATCACCACTTGAAGTTTTTTGTTTTCCTTTCCATCACTGTAAGCTTCATATTTTGGCAACTAAACTTTGCTTTAAAGAAACACCACCTTCTTTCCTGCAGTTCTACTTAATGACCCAAACATGTGGCAGCTTTTCTGTGAGGAGAACTGTGCAACTATGTGGAAGCTCAGTAAAATTCACGTGCGCTCATCTGGGGACTAGGCAGTAACAGAGCTGTGTCAGTGAAGAGCTCACAATCTACAAGTGAACAGAAGAAACAGATGCTGCTGAGAAAGAAATGCTCCTTCTGCCATCATTGTTTTGTAATGGGAGCGAAAGTAAATAAACAAATAAATTATCTAAACAGAAAGATACCATAAGAAAACCAATTTTTTCTTCTAAGTCTGAGCTGATTTCTGGTGCAACTTTTTTTCCCCTCACCCCAACCTTTTAAAAGTTACTACTGTTTATTAATCTTCAACCATAAAAAAATTAACTAACGCTGGAATTTTTCCATTTTCTTTAAAGGGAAGGATAATTTAATAATAGCTAATATACCTCTCTCCTTCCCGTTTTATTTCAAGTTCTTATAAGGACACTTTGCTTAACTTTTCTCCTCCTGAACTTAAATTCCTTTACCAAGTAACCCAAAACAGAAGAATAATATCACAAAACACATTATAATCCTTAGCTGATATTAGACTTGCAAAAAGTCTAATATAAGGGGGCTGTGACTCCCTTGGTCATCACTGCTCTTCTGTAAAAACACACCAGTTCCCCATGTTGTTCCCTACAGGCTTAAAAGAGGGATGTGTTATACCTAAATCAAGACACTGGTATCCACATAGAGGGGGGTTTTGTTTGACATTTTTTTTTCTCAAAAACTAAACTAAAAATAATATTATTATAATGGTAAACAATATTATCTTTGTACTATGAACAACATATGGGAATGAGATGTTTTAATTCTCTATGTGCTTGATACTCTAGGGACGTAACACCATAATGTAAAAATTAACAGTGAAGACAATAACAACTGCAAGAACAACACCGCACAGAAGTGACAGGAAATGCTAAGACAAGGCTTTTAATGGTATTTATTAAAGGTTTAAAAATGGGAAATCTACCAGAAAACATATAGTTCCCCTTACTCTTCTTTTAGAAGAATTCAAATTTTATTTGGAAAGATGCCAAATTCTCAAGAAGGTCCACGCAAACTGTCTTCTATTCAGGAATAAATGTAAAAAAATCAAGCACGTAAGTAATTTAGCTTGTGGAAGTAACACAACTGAGTTTGATAGGACCATTCCTATGTTTAATATAATTCATATACACCAATGTTTTAGAAGTATTAGGAGCGTAAGACAACCTGAATAATTTTTCCTGAGTGAGTTTCATGCAAAGAGATCTACTCCCTAAATAAATATTTTGCCAACTTTCAAGTGTTTCTTTGCATTGTGCCACGGAACACATTACAGAGAGATGTGAGCCAGTATTGACCAAACTGGTGTATCCATCACACACACTGCCAACAGATACACTGGCTTAAGTTTCAAAAGCATAGTTGCATTATCAAAATACCACACCCAACCTAATCATCTTACTTTAGATCAGCCAGGCAACAGCGATAAATGTTTGGTGCTAGAGCCAGCACAACCACCACTAGCTTGGGGGAAAGAAAAGGGATATCTTTACTCTGCAAGGTGTTAAGCAGGGTCGACATGCCCTCAAGATGGCCCAAATGGCCATTCAACACTTCAGAATGGTTCATGCAACACTTCAGAAATAAACAAAAACCGGCACACAGATGATATTAAACACGTTACACTTCAAGGAAGTTAACACTTATGAAGGAGGGGTATTTTGCAAAGCACTACTTACAGGTATGGAGGCACTCAGTTACTGTAGTTGGCTTGATGAGATAGCCTTTACAGATATAGCAGGTGATATGAGGATTGAAATCTTTCACCAAGTGCTTCCTCTGAGTAGCCATTCGTGGGGTAGGAAACGCTGGCAGAGTGCTCGGGCCAGAGGAGCAAGTCTGAGAGGCGTCGATGCCCGCGGTTCACAAGAGCTGCGGCGCTGCTCTGTGCAACTGGACTTCTCCAGGCATTTGCTCTTAATTCTGGAGGTCTCACAGAGACATGGCTCGTAACGCCTGCTCCCGTGCCAGGCGAGTCATTTTCCTACCTGTAACACACGTGGAAAGAGAGAGGTGTGTAAGCCTGGCAGCACAACACCGGTGACTGTGCCCCGGAGGACAAGTGTCGCCATAAACTTGGCAAGGCCACCCGGGTTATTATTTACATAACAGCAGCTGCGTCCCGGCGCTCGGCAGCCAAGCTCCG